TACGTTATATATTGCGCAATATTGCGCAATTTTCTGCGCAATATTATGTCCAGACCGTAATTATTGCGCAATATTTCGGGGTGTAATAACTTGCGTAAGTTTACGTTAGTATATTTCGCTGATGTAGGTGGTATGCAATTCTTTAAAAATATTTTATAATTATTAAATTTTTACTATTTGCTTTAAAATATATATATATAAATTTCAGTGTCTAAAATATTGGTTACCCAAGTTGATTCCATTTTTAGTATAAAATACTATCTTATTTTTAAAATTTATATAGCATCCAACTGTATCGCCAGTAGTAAATGATGATCCGTATAGTTCGCCAATTCCTAAACAAAAAGAATATCCATCATCACTATGGTAACCACACCCCCATGGTTTATTTTTCTTATTTTCCTCATCTTCTTTATTTTCCTTATATTCCTGTCCTGAGAGTTTTATAAATGTTAATCTGCTACAATATGAAAATAAAATACAAATTTGCTACAGTATTACCAGGCATGAACATATTATTTATATAAGCTGAATCATCTATTTTTTTATCACTTTGCTTTGTACAATATCCGATCCCAATTATTCTATCAATAAATAGAATTAACGGATTATTAAAAAAGATAGCAAGAACATAGATAATGCTTAATAATATGAAATAATTATTAATAATATTACCCATTTTTTCCTTTATTTATAATTTTAATTTCAAAATAAAATATCCCACATTGTGAAGGGATTGGATGATTTGCTCGAACTATAGCAGCTTTAAAATCATCAGGATCTTTAATTGAAATATTTTTTAATAAATTAAAAAAAAGTTATTATTCTTTAAATTATCAACAATTAATACTCATATAATTCAGCGAGATTTTTCGTTTTTATCTTACCTGTATAAATCACTTTAAGGCTACTTGAATCTATGTCAATAAATGGTGATTTATCTTCAATATCCCACTCAGTCGGTAAAGCAATATCATTGTTTAAAATTAGTTCTGAATCTCCCATTATGTTAAAATTCAAATCAGATAGTGTTATGAATATATAAAAGCGAATTTATAAGAATACAAAATTTTATTATTGAACACAATTTACTATAATTGTATATATGTAGAGGATGCTAACGGCTTGACCCGACTTGTATATTTATTATTATAAAAATGATTAATCAATATGTTTGTTTGAGACGTACTTGGGTTATACAGTATCTCCACTTTAGATATTTATATTGAGCTATCATCAGGAAGTTTTTGAAAGTGTGTAAACTCATTGTTCAATAAAGTTCTACATACCTTGCATTGTACAACAATTTTTATTAAGAAAAAACCATATAGAATTTTATTGAACAATAAGTTTACACACTTTCAAAAACTCCTAATGATATTCCCCCAAAATTACACAGAGATCATCTCTAGATAATCAGTTTCAGTGCATATAACAGTAACTAATTAATATACTAGTTAACTGACGAATATAATAAAGTCAGAATAAAACAGAGCCTGGGATCAAGAATAAGATCAAGATCAAGATAGAGTTCAATAGATTACTACAAACCGGTTTCAAATTCGTGATACATAAGTTTTAAAAAAAGATAAAGAATCTAACCAAATATGACTCGAAATGGGTAAATACAAAAGTTAAAGCTCACTTAGTTAGGGTTGCGTTCCAAACACTTTTTTTAGTTACGACGTTTCTACTTAGTTTGGGTTTGGGAATCGGCATTTCTACCTAGTTTGGGTTCATAACCAAAACCCGAATATGTATCCTATTTCGGTAAATGGTGTTAAACTCAAAACTATCAATCCATTAAATAAATATTCGGCATTTAATAGAATAATATTTAAATTATTCAAAAAATTTTGATTTTTAATCAGGTATATCCATGTTTAAATATTGATAATCTAAAGATCGAATCCAATTCAAGAATCATAGATGGATCGATTATCGATTAATTAAATATAGTTAAGCCAAAAACACGTAAAAAATTTTGTTTGAATGTTGGGAATATCAATGTCTCTTTTACTTGTAAATGCAAATAAAATTGCCAAATGATTGTTTATTTTATTGTTAGCTAGGTAATAAACAAGCAGAATTTAAAACTTAGATTGTCCGATAATATCAAGAACGAAGTGCAATGAAGAATATGGTTATATTTAAACGCATTAGACAAACCATTCTTATAATTTGAGATTTCTATATAAAATCGAAGTATTGTATGTATGAGTTAAACAATATAATAAGTAAATGCAATCGAAATGTGTAATCAAAGAAATATAATTCTATAATACCATGATGATATGTTTAATTTCCTTGTTTAGTCATTGTTTTAAATATAAAACTATTTAAGCTGAATATAATAACATCATAGTAAAATCTTTCTATATCAAAAAATTTTCAAAAATTTTCTTGCTAATGAAAAAAATTGTCGATATATCTAGAGTAACGTGTATTAAAAACGAAGTGTACAAAGTGGGTATGCACAACAAGGTGACTTATAGGTAAATCACGATTTGATATCAAAATTTCGTAATCTTATTGGCCAAGGTGCCGGGCTTTAAACAATCTCTTTGTTTGGGATAAGTCCCAAATACGATTTTATATGTAAAAAATTTGGGATTTCAAACTATAATATAATTTATATGTCAGAATGTTTGACATTACAGCAAATTAGAGACATTTTGCAAAATCTAGTAAATACTATTTGGGATTTTACCAAATCCCAAACTAGTAGGTTTGGGCCGCAACTCTAGTCTCTGGACACATACCGGTCACGTAAATTTGCACTTACCGATTACTGGTATGACATACCAATTAGTAAATATATAAGTATAGAATAGTTACACTAAATAAGTAATATATACCAATACATCAAAATTTTGAAATCGGGAAATAAAGAGCTCAAATTACTTATTAAACCTTTGCTCAATTATTTTTTTATATAACTTAATGAACCTTCGCTCAAATTATTTACTGAACCTTCACTCAAATTATTTACTGAACCTTTAATTAAGATATTTTTTTATATAACTTACTAAACCTTTGCTCAAATTATTTATCAAACCTTTGCTCAATTACTTATTGAAGTTTACTCAGCCTTTGCTCAAAATACTTATTAAACCTTTGCTTAATGTATTTTTTTTAAACCTTCACTTAAATTATTTTTTTATATTACTAAACTTTTGCTTAATTATTTTTTATAAACTTTCTTTTTTTATATAGCTTACTTGAAAAAAATCGTCAGATTTAATTGTTCTTTCACAGTATCAATCCAGTTCTATGGCTTGTATTAATTTGAATAGTTCATCAATTTCTTTATCCAGAACTTTAGCAATAGCCTTATTCGTGCTAGTTGAGTATTCGTTCATAAGTGTCTTTAAAAGATTATTTTTTTGTTTAATTTTGACGTTATTGATGTGAAATTTTAAGCATGTAAAGCATAAAATGATAATAGATATTTGTATAAAGTGTATTTGCAGATATTGAGATCAAACTGTAGTTTTAAAAATTACCTTATATGTTATTGAAAATTTATACGTAGCAAAAGCAATTATTTGTAATTTAATTGGCCACAATATTGTAACAATTATAACAAATGATAATTGTAATAAATTTAATTTTCAGTATTCCTGATACTCATTGTAGCTCTTACGCATAATCTTAACAAAATGTTTATTATAATTAATATAATTTATAACTCTAGTGATGGGATCTCTGAATTTTTATTAATAATGTATGTCCCAGCAATTGGAAAAACAATGGCTTTTTTTTCTTGAAGCAGAACATTTAAAAGAGTAGACTTTCCTATATTTGGCTTACTCACAATAGCAACTTTTAATCCTTCTAGGTAGATCCAAGCTTTTTTACTGCTTTCTTTAATGGTTTTCGGTTTTTTCACTAATTTATTTAAGCAAGGTAAAACTTCCTGACCTGTTAAGTATTCTACCCCATTATATTTCGGATAATTAATATTTACTTTAATATTAGCAATTATGTCTAGTAGTTCATTTTTTATAAATTCTAATTCTTTTTGGGGTTCAGAACTTAAATTATTGAGGCCTAAATTGGCTTCTTCTAAACTAGATGCATGAATTAAATCATTGATAACATTAGCTTGAATTAAATTTAATTTTCTGTTGAAAAAAGCTTTTTTGGTGAATTCTCCTTCTTTGGCCAGAGCAGCCCCATTTTCCAAAACTAATTGTACTATTTGGTTAACAATAAATAAATTTCCATGACAACTGATTTCTACCATGTCTTCACTAGTAAAAAAAACATGGTGTATAGAAGCAGAGCAATAATACTTCAACAATTTTTTTTTTTGAATTAATGATTTTGCCAAAAATTAGTTGAGGTTTTTTTAGGGATATTCCAGTAAAAGCAGTCAAAAATTTTAGTAATAATAAAATAGGTTTGGGGGCCAGAAATTCTGATAAGAACAATGTTTTGAGTAATAGAAGCAGTAACTAAGAAAACAATAGTTTTTTGATTAAACATGAGTTAGAATTATATTATAATAGTTAATAACTTTGATCATTACCAATAATATCGATATGATGAATTAAATAAACTTCTAACGAATTTAATAAAAATTTGGTTTGTCAATATCTTAACAATTTTTGAAAAAATATTGATACAAACTTTTGTTTTTTATGTATCCTGTGCTAATTAGCTATGCCATAGTGATAGATTATTAAGCCATTATTATAAAATAATCGATCAATTAATTAATAATTATTTATTAATAATTCAGGAGATCCCATCACTACATAAATGAAAAATCTTATTAGTGATATATAACACTGCTATGCAATTCTGGTCCATAACATATAGAAGCCGAATTTTATATTTTTTATTTATAAACCTATAGTTAAGGATGCATTTAAATTTATTATATTTATTATAACCATATAAGCTAGGTTAATTGTATCTCTATTTATAATTAAGATAAATCAATAATAATATTGGAAGTTGCTTTATCTTTTGAGTACTCTTTCTTAAAAGCTTTCTGAAAGAATGAAATTCTTGTCTCAAAAAGCTTTTCCCAAATTTTACTTTGATCTGAGCATATGGTTTGCTATCTATTAACAATTACTAGAACGGGTGTATTTGCTTTTAGCCTCATAGCAATATAATGATTTTGCTTATCTATAAAGGCTAAAACAATAGGCTGGTTCCTATTCAATGGAATATTATCGGTCAGAAATGTTAAACATTAATGTTTACTAAAGTAGTGAATTGGCCGTTTGAAAGCATTAGCAATTAGATATCCAAAAGATGGCATTAACATCCAATTTTCAATACTACAAAGACCTTTTTCCCACTGTACAATTGAAACAACTGTATTGTATTCATTTTCACCTTCAATAAATAGTTGAACATAATAAGCTTTTCAATTAATTAGTTCATTAAAAATAGTTTGTTATATAGTTGGCCATTCATCTTCAGATATTTCAAGTGATATAGCAATAGCACGGAAGCCACAGTTTCCATCACTACGAACATTTATATAGCTTAATATAAACTTTTTCATAAACATTGGCATACTGTCTTCATACATATCAACATCTTTATAAGAGATAATAGGAGATTGCAAAGTATTGGCCTGATTTATCTTTGATAGTAAATTATGCAGAACCTTTTTTTTTTTCTTTGTCTCTATATCTTGCTTCTCGCTCAAAAGTTTTTTATGCTTGGTTCCTGAATGGCAACCTTTTGAAACTTTCATTTTAGGTGCTTTTAAAGGTTCAGAAAGTGGTATTGTAATTACTTAATAAATACATGCTATAAATTTTGCATTTATAGAAGTATCATTTGGAAGTTCACAAAATGTATTTTCAGCTTTAAGAAAGACTTTATAAAATTTTGGGTTAGTAGCTGATAACTCTAAAGAAGGACTTGGAAGATCTTTTATTTTAGACCTATAAAGATACCAACACTTATCAATAATATTAAGAGGAATTGGTCCTTCTTTAGAAATTGTATGATAATATTTAAGCTTATAATTAATTTTTATTTGGCATTAACAAGTTGTTGTTTCACTATATTTTGTTGAATTTTCTTGAATTTCAACTAAAAGATTTTTTATTCTATTAATTGCATATGTTGATACATTACCAATAATTATACTAAAGCGAGAATCACGCAAAGTAAATGGATTACATGCTACTTTGTTAGTGCCAGTATATACAGCTATTTTGAGATTTTTTACTTGCATCCTTTGGTCAATATTTTCAAAAACTGATTCTAATCCACTGGCTGTTTCTATAGCTTGTTTAAAAGCACTGTGTGATGATTCAGCACGTGCAGTTGTTGAGATACCTATATGACATAAATTTTTTGTAAATGCATAAATTCACAATTTAGAGTCTTTCATTAAAGTATTGATATACACCATAGGCTTTTTGGAATCATATGCTTTTTTTTGCAGCACTTTCAATAGATTTCATTGCTTTTATTATACTTTCTTTATTAGGTGATAATTGTAAAATTTCAACCTCTTTTTTAAATTCCATATAATCATCATCACTATCAAACAACTTGCAGCAGTTTGTTTTAAGATTTTGATCTATTAAATAGCATTTTGTCTGCTTCTGGAAAAACTTCTCTAGAGGCATTTCTAAGTGCTTGATCTCTGTCTGACATAAATACACATGGAAGACAATTGTAAATATCATATACTTTTTTGTAAAGTGTTGTTAAAAACCACTTATAAAAATCCTTATTTTCATTTTCTATCCACGTCATTGCAATCTGAAATGTTTTTAAAGAACTTTTTTTATTTGCAATATTACTAATACTAACTGTACTTACAAGAGGAAACTTATATACATTTGTTTTGTAAGTAGCATCTACAATTAAAACTTCATAACATTTTGTAGTATGCTTTGCTACTTCAACATGAGAACAAAACAAATATATCAAATGTCCATCATGTGTTTTAAGTAACTCTGTCATATAATTATGTTGCTGAAAAAGACGTAAAAGCTTTTGAGCACAGTTAGCATTAGGACCTTCATTAAGTGTATATCTAATTCATGCCCATTTGTTTACTATATCTTTTGGCAAAACAATACCACCATTATTAACTTTATTGATAGCAGTAGTAATTATATTGGCGTGTTTGGTTCATCACTTTTGAGTAACCCCAAAATTTTGGAGTCCAAATATTGATTAACATTTTTATGATTATCAATTTTAAATAATTGAATTTATATTAATAAACTTTTTGACTCATAAGTAAAATATGCGCTAAAGTCCAACAATTTTTAAAAGTAGTATATTTTTATTATATAGAAACGTAACTATAAACTTGTTAATACTAAAAAGTAAAATTCATATTTAACTATATATAGAAGCACGATCTAAATTGAAGAACCATGAATAATTACGATTATACAACTTATGCTTAATTTTATTTAAACATTTATATTTTCATAAGGTAAATTATTTAAGATATATGTAATGTCATAGTGCGACATCTTAGAAAATATTACAATATTTATTCAAATATATGTATCGTCAGCACAAACTATAGTACCCTGAACACGATACATTCCACGAGCAAAATCCAAGTTAGTACCCGGATACTATACTAAGTTTTTTACATAGGCCGGTACTTTATATTCAACCATATAATTTTTTTGAGGGGGGACTTTGATATGAGGGGTACTTGTCTGCGCTGTATGGTATTACGTTTAACACTTTAAATAAACAAATTCTTACATAGTATGTAATTTTTTGCATTAATTACAGAAAGCATTAACGCGTTAGAAGATATTGCTCAAGTCAAATCAACTGAACTTTATTGATTTTCAAAATATTCTTGCTTGGTTATTGTTATAAATATGGAATTAAAGTTAGTACAGTATTCAGTCAAAAATAATGTATTTATATATTATCAAGAAAGAAATCTTATTTTTATTATTTTGGAATCCAAGTTAAAATAAATCTGAAATTAGCTAAAATGAAGAAATGAAATTCATTAGTTATTGTTATTGAAACAGAATTAAATAGAAAATTTAATTTTTAAATTTGCTATTACTATTTCAATAAATTGGTGTAGCGGGAATTTAAGCATTAAGTTTACAAGTTAAAAAATTCATTAATCTAAGTATAATATTCAAAGATGAGAAATCTAATCTTAACCGGGAGGAATTTCTTCCATGATCATATGACACATATAAATATTTATTGCGATTTTCAAAAAGATGTAGCTGTTCAAAGAAATATAAACATAACTTATCAAAAATATAAAATAACAGATTTCAGAAATTTTTCCCGATCATAGTCACAAAAATCATGCAGTTACAAGCCACAATAATCGATTTATTAATCTATTACTTTATATTATGTAAAAGAACATTATTGCCCAATATACTTCTACGCAGATACAATTAATCTAAAATTTAACCAACCTACTCTAACCTTTAATCAATAATGCTTTACATTTTAACTCGTAGCGATACCCTATTTTAAAAAATTTTAAAAAATTAATATATATATATATTTATCTTTTTAGCTTCAATTTTAATTAATACTTACTAATTCTATTAGTCAAACTGTTATTTTTAATTGACTCTACAAATATTTCTAATTTCAACAAATGTTATTCTAATCGGTATTGTGTAGCTTTTTTAATATAACTAGGAATATTTGCTTGCTAATAAAATAATTGCCGATTTTCGTGTTCTAATATTTCTAGAATTGCTGATTTTCTAGACCGATCATGTCCACCATCTTTTAATATATTTTGAAAATATCGACATACTTGAATATGGTTTTTTTTTTCTAAAGCTAAACATGAAAAAGCCATTAATCCTAAATCTCTATAAATCTCAATAAATTCGGGAATATGATAGATTAAAACGTGCATATATGGAGTACAATCTGTTGCTTGATATAGTCTTTGCACAAAATTTTTATTTGGACATCCTTGAGATGGAGTTAAAAAATATTCTAACCATTCAATTGCTTTTTTTTTAAAACTACTACCACTTATTTTTTTTTGATGCAAATCATTATATAATTCAGCGAATCCATTTCAGAGTTTTCTAAGTTGATTTTGTCTAACTGTTGGTAAATAACAAATACTAATATTCTTAAAAATAAAATTACATAAGAGTTTAAGTTTGTCTGGACCCATCAAAGACGTATTACATAATTTTTTAGTATTTTTATCTGTTCAAAATTGAAATGTTACACCAATTCGTTTCATTTCTACTAATATTTCTTGCTGAATTTTATTATCTAACTCTCCATTTCGTTGCAAATCAGATAAAAATAGTTCAAAAAGTCGATCTGTAATGCGAAACATTACATGTAGCTTGTCACACACCCAATTTTTAAGATCAATCATATCAAATAAGGGTGCACGTTGATGCCCTCTAATGTTAAAAAAATTTTTTTTTATTTGTTCCATATTTTTGGTAATTGTCCAATCACCAACTAGTTTATTATTTTGATCAAGAATTCCATTTTGCTGTTTCGTACATGTACACCATGGACAAAAATGATTCGCGTTTGCAAAATTAAATCCTAAACAGGTAACTAAAAACTTCCAATCTGCGCTAAAAAAAGGTCCACATTCTAATGCAAGCCGTTAAGTTGGTAAAATCCGGATTCTCTTAAATTGTTTAAATCAAAAATTAATGTGCAAAGTGCATTTTGAAGAGATTGATAATTTTCTAATCCAAAGTAAAGAACAAGTATATGATACCTTTCAGGCTTATGCAGTCTTTCTATATCATTAAGTATTATAGCCGTTACTATAATATGCTGAACCTTTCGTCCTACATTCCTACCATCTCCAGATATACGAAGTTTAATAGTAGTATTATTTGGAATTAAAAGTCTTTTTTTTATATACCCAGGTACAATAAAATTTAATATATCAATTATAGAATGCTGACCACCTTTTCTAGCAGATTCAACTACATTATTAACTATATCAGGATCAGTAATATGAGGTTGATCTTCAGTTAATTCAGAAGCAACAGATGTTTCTTCTACATTTATAAGTAATAAGAGAACTAGATTTTGCATTTGTTTATTAAGTCTTTGACGTGTACTTGATATTGCACCCTCTCTTGGCAAATTTTGATTAATACGTGCTAATGATCGATAAGCTTCACGAGATATCTTGCCTTTATCTAATAATTTTAGAACCGCCAAATGCAAATCATCTATCTTTTCTTGGTTAACTTTTCCATATTGAATTTAAATAGCTTATCATTTATAGTAAAACGTGCTTGCTTAATTTCAACTTTATCATCTTTATAAAAAATGTTTTCTTTACAAATTTCAACTTGATCAAATACACGTTTGGCCATTGTCAACATATGACATCGTTGAGTAGAATTACTGAGATTGTTAAAGGGTTGAACTTTAAGATAGGTATTGGATAGTAACATTTTTCTAACTATATGAACAGAATTTAATTGTAATCCAAACAATTGTACACCTGACATTCAAATGTCTTTCTTTTTATTCTCATTTTTATTAATTATATTTGCATTTATTTCTTGAATATCTTCACTTGACAAAGTTCCTTTATTTTTTAGCTTTTTAAGACCCTTCAAAGATATTAATTTTTTAATACAATATTGCTAATGCTAATAAATTTTTTTAAAATTAATTATTTACCTTGCAGTATTTAGCTGTGGCGTCTGATAAAGATTTTGTTGAATGAACTATGTATTTGTCAAACTGTATTGCAAAATATGGCTTGTTATTGATATATTGGATAGAGCATTCTGCGATATATATTTTTTTTCCATATGTTGTGCGAACAATATACTGATCAGGAATAGCATATTGCTCCGGTTTCTTAGTATATGCAAGTTTATGTAAAGGAGAATAGACACCTTCATTTATAATTATATAGTCCCATGATCTATGCGTGTCTTTAAAAAAAATGTGCGAGTCTTTAGGATATGCACTTATTTCTTCTCTCTTCATGACTGTCAAATGAAAAAGCGTGTATGTACATACAATGTCTATTACATTGGGTTAATATAGTACGTACGTTTGTATGTAATCAAGTAATTAATCACATGAATTAAGTATGATTGGCTATTTTGTAGTTAACATACAATCAAGATATATTTAAGTATTTTTTTTTTTTTGTAACCTTCGATCAATGCTTTTTTTCTTTTTTAAATATGCTAGTACTGTACTTTCCTTGGAGTTATTATATATTGGTATTGTCAGTTGGAGACGTCATATTTGGTGTTGTCGCTAAGAGTCGTCACTTGTCGGAGTTTCCATTCACACACTCGTGTTGTTGCTTGGTGTCGTTGTATACTATCGTATGTACTGTTAGGCTGTTCTCTTTTTTTTGTGTATTGGTTTAGTTGTATATACTTGTATTAGTCACTTGTTGGTAATTTCTTTTTGCTAACTAGTTTTTTCTTGTAACATTTGTATACACGTTTCGTCATTCTGGTGTAATTCTTGTGCTGCTGTTTTGAATGTCTCGTTGTTTGTTGGTGCTTTGCTATCGTTTAATGGGTTTTTCTAGATTGTTATTTTATATTTTCGATTAGTTACGTTTATATTTCTTTGGTGATCTGCAATGGCTATATCTTTTTGCAAAGTGTAATAAATATTTATATGCATCATATGATTGTGGGAGAATTCCTCCTGGTTAATCTCTTAATGCTATATAATGGGTGTTTTCAAGTATTTCAATCAATTGATTAAGGTTATTCTCAAGAGCCAACCTAGTATTGCCCATAAAAAAATGTAGCTGCCGTTATTTAAAATAAATTATTCAAGTTCGTGAATATCTTCTCAAATATAATAATTGTGGCAGATAATAATGAAATCAGATTAAAATGAAACTGGGAACCTTTCTTGCTCATCTTTAAAGCTTATAAAACCCACTTATACTCT